AGCCCCCCTCTCCCCCCCCCACCGGTCTCCTAAGGATGGATCATTCCCAGTGCCTTGTGACTATATACGCCGTGGTGGTTCTGCTGGGTCTCCGGCTGGAGCAAGGCGCCGGCCAGCACTATCTGCACATCCGACCGGCTCCCAGCGACAACTTGCCCTTGGTGGATTTAATCGAGCACCCGGACCCTATCTTTGACCCCAAGGAGAAGGATCTTAACGAGACCTTGCTAAGGAACCTCATGGGCGGACACTTCGACCCTAACTTTATGGCTATTTCCTTGCCCGAGGACCGGCTTGGGGTGGACGACCTGGCTGAGCTGGACTTGCTGCTCAGGCAGAGACCCTCGGGAGCGATGCCCGGCGAAATCAAAGGGCTGGAGTTCTACGACGGGCTGCAGCCGGGCAAGAAGCACAGGCTCAGCAAGAAGCTGCGCAGGAAGCTGCAGATGTGGCTCTGGTCCCAGACCTTCTGCCCGGTCCTATACACGTGGAACGATCTCGGCAGCCGCTTTTGGCCCCGGTACGTCAAAGTGGGCAGCTGCTACAGTAAAAGGTCTTGTTCAGTCCCAGAAGGCATGGTGTGCAAACCTGCCAAGTCCGTGCATTTAACGATCCTGAGGTGGCGGTGCCAGCGGCGGGGGGGGCAGCGGTGCACATGGATACCCATCCAGTACCCCATCATTTCGGAGTGCAAGTGCTCGTGCTAGGGCTTGCACCTCCCTTCTCTCGCCCCTTCTCCAGCGGACTCACGTGGACCTTTGCTGCAACAAAAATAAAAGACATTTGCTTTCTGGTTAACGTTGTAATGCACTGTAACGTGTAGGAGAATGTATATTGTGTGTATATATGGCACCGTTTTAATATACTATTAAAAGGTCAGTATTATACGTGAAATAATCAGCGTCTACTGTATTTTTAAGACTATTACCCTGATCCTTCTAATGTATCTTTTTTTTTTTGGTATTTATATTCCAGAGAGAAGTTGCTTCGCTTTGGCGAAGTAGGTTTTTTGTTGGGGTTTTTTGTTGTTATTGTTTTTGTGTTTGTTTTTTTAATAAAAGAATTAAAATATACAAACCAAACTTTTTGATAAGAAAACGTTTTAAAGCTATTTTCCATTATTCGGAAAGCGTGTGTGTCGGTTGTTTTTTTCTTTTTCCTTACGGACTTTAGATTTAAAATAATAATGAATAAGCGCCTAGAGCACAATGTTATTGTAAATAGAGAGAACAGTTTGAATGACTTAATCCTATGTAAATGAAGAGTATCTGCTATTTATTCTTTATATCCTTGTAGTGAAAGTGCAGTGCAGAATTAAAGTCAACCACTAAAACACGAGCCGTTCGATTCTGCTTGCTTTCTGGCTTGGCCACCCTCGAGGGAGCTTGCCTCACTCTCCTCCTCCTTCTCCTCCTCCTCCTCCGCGCTCGGCGGGACGTTCCGCGGTGGCAGGGGAGGCGGGAACCTGCTCGCGGATCTTCGGCACCTACCGCGGTAGCGCCCCATGCGTCCGGC